CTTCATTGATTAATTATTAGTGAATTTTGACCAGTTGGTTGCACACCGAGAATGTAGGTAATCACATTGACTGACAAACCTCATCAAATGTCTGTGTCTTTATGATTGTTTCGCTGGTTTTCGTTCTTTCTATAATTGTGGTATTTATAACAACAAAATAAGCTTCAATAATGTTGCTTCAAACCTTCTGCGCACTGTTTCTCATCGGCCCAAGCTGTTTTCAGGAAGAAACATGGAATCATGATTGCTATAGAGAGAAACAACTCACTCCAAACTTGAGCGCTACCACCAACGGCGAAAGTGAGGATTAGAGAGATACTGATCATCTGAATGATGAAAATGCTTATGTTGCATTGGCTTTCATACTGAGTTTGTTGGTTATCTTTTGTTTTTCGGATATGGACATTTTGAACAGATTAGAGTACTTATCCCTAGCCTCCTACAGGAATTTTTCTCTCTCTCTGTGTGTGGGGTTTGCATTCTAACTTCTGCGATACTAGCTAGAGGACATGCTCGATCTTTTTGTATCTAAACATGTTCTATTTAATCCTTATTATTGAACCAACTCTGGAAGTTGTTGTTGACTGCATCTTATAAATTAAGAACATTAAACCAACCCTGTACTCAGTATGTGTGTTGTTGAATGCATTTATATATATATATATATACTCACTTGAGGACACATAGTATCCCTGTTGTCTCAGCAATCTGAAAGAAAGGGCGACACTATGCGTATCGTCGATCTCTTCAACCTCAGCTAGAACATGTCTCAGTGACTCGTTAATCTCCTCCTTAAAGTGATATTCCAGCCCAAGACGTTGTATTTCATCAATCAAACTCAAAGTCGTGCCAATGTCTTTCTTATTTATTGACAGTAATGCAGCAGCCTCCTCCTTCAGCTCTTCCATCTTTCGCTTGATGACCTTTGTCTGTGTCAACTTTAGATCAGTTGTGTTAGATGTGAAGGAAATTAAATCGGAATTCAACATCAACAGATTAAATAGTTCATGGGGGTTTATGTGCAATAACTCTAAAGGTTTAGGGGGGTTTCGTCTAATAAAAAAAATTTGATGGGGAATTTAATGTAACTTCCCAAAAGTTCTTATGGTCCTTTGGTGAATAGATTAGATCGCCTTTGAGAATTGCAGAGGTGAAAGTGATTGGGATTGTTGATGCAAGAAAAAACTTCTTAGATAGAGTTCGTTGGATTTGACTTGATGTGAGGCTCCCTTAATCTCGTTAAACTAGTCTCGTTAAACGACTGATGATTATTATGCATTGAGCTCTTAATGGCACATGACTAGACCGTAGCACACCATTTGGACAATAACAAAATCCAAGTGATATTACTTAAGCCTCTCATTTACATTTACTTTTTTTTCAAATATAAATTTATGGAATATATTATAAGAATTCATTTATTGAAGAATCTGTGAAAAAAGGATTAAAAAGTGAAATTTATTTCAAAAAACCAAAATAAATTCAACTTATACATCTATATCCATTGTTCCCGACTTAACCAGTCCTCTACTCCGAAATGCACCAAACTTCTGAAAAGAATAAGAAAAGAACAAAATAACAAAAATAAATCATTCAGTAATAGTTGTGAACGCGTAGTTTTTCTACGCGGCTTGTGGGGTCCACCCACGTGAAAACAAAGCCTACCACAAATCCCTGCACGCGTGAAGACCAGGCTTATAAATAGGTCTCCTTTTTTATTCTTAGGGTTTCGGTGCATAGAGGGCTTTGGGTTGCGGCTACAGAGAAAGGCAAAGGAACTTGTTTTTTTTGTGTGGCTGCGGAACAAAAGCAAAAGAAAAAGCTGCAGGCGGCGTGCGAAGTTGAGGGTGAGCACGGAGTTTTGTGGCGGCTGTAGGAGTGCAAAGACAGAGGAAAAGTTGGGTTTTTGCATCCTTTTGTAGAGAGATATTGTGAGGGATCTGATAGTTTGTTTGAGGGTTTAGGTTGTGAGTGATTGTAAACCCTAGTTGTATTCTCTCCCTCTATTAGTAGATCTCCCCCCTCCTTGCCCCGTGGACGTAGGCAATTTGTCGAACCACGTAAAATTGGTTGTATCGTTTGTGTGTGATTTGTAATAGCTTTTTAGGATTCCTCGACAGGTCAGTCCTAGAACTGATGAGAGGAAGAACCGATATCTCACTTTGTTGAGATATTCACTTCATATTCTTATTTCCTTGGTGAGACAGGAATTCTTATTGCGACCCGACTCTCTTGTTGTGCTGTCGAAGTGCTGTCGAAATTTTCGCTGCGCGCAACAAGTGGTATCAGAGCCCAAATTTCAGATCTAGGGTTTTGGAGTTTGGTGGAGAAAGATTTTTTGTGTGAAGCTTGATTCTTGGAGTTCTAGGCTTCGGTGGAGATAATATTAGGAGTTGCCGTTGGAGATTTCGCTTTCCTCGTGTGGATAGAAGATCTATTTGGAATCCGATCTAGGATTCAGTTGGGTGGTTCCTAATTTCTATCAAATTTGTTCTTTTTCTACAATTTGGAGTTAGTTTGCAATGGGAGAAGAAGGTGAAAACAGCAAATCGATGGCGAGTACAATACAAGTTGGTTTTCAGAACACTAAGATTAGTGTAGTAAAGTATGACGATAAAATCAACTTTGGTTTGTGGATGAGCGACGTACAGGATGCGCTCAATGCTCAGAATCTGGAAGAGACTGGATGAGCGACGTACAGGATGCGCTCAATGCTCAGAATCTGGAAGAGACCATCATGGTCCACGAGAGGCCACCTAAATATGAAGAGGCGGTATGAGAGAAGATGAATAGGAACGCTTGTGGGGTGATTAGGTCCTGTTTAGAATAAGAGCTGAAATATGATGTGATTGAGGTAATGTCTGCAATGAAGATGTGGGAAATTCTCAACAATAAGTATCTCACAAAGAGTGTTGAGAACAGGTTACACTTGCTACGAAGACTCTTCAGATTTCAGATGTCCAGAGGCACCTCGCTAGCTCATGTGAACAACTACACTAAGTTATTGTCGGACTTGGCGAATATTGATGAGAAGATATCGGATGAGTACTGTTAGACCCTAGAGAGGGGGGGTGATTAGGGTCTTATGCTAATCTAATCCGATTAAATGCCAATTAAAAACTAATTAATAAGTTATCCTAGCAAGTATAAAATACAACAAGATATGTGAGCTAGGATAAGCAATATGAACAACAAGATATATCCTAAATGATAGAAATATATGCAAGGATATATAAACTAATACAAGATAATATATCCTACCAAAAAGATATATAATATGATATATGCAAGGATATGAGACTAACACAAGGGGTAAACAATATGAACTAAATAGTGGATTATATAAATAATGAGCTATGGCCAATGGCGATATAAGATATGAACATAAATATAAATGAACGCCAAAGCACACTCAAACAAGCAATATGATCACGGAGTTCGGACCTTCCGTCCTACGTCTCCGCTCCCCACTCCCGGGGAGAAATCCACTAACACAATCCGGTTTGGAAGTCGGAACTTCTACACACTCGGTTTTCTAGCTAACCGAAAATTATACAACTCACACTCTTACAATCACACTCTACACCCACTAAGTGTTGGACCTAGCCATGTCTCCCTCAAGTGCTCGGTTACAACCTCTCCCTAGGCACGTCAACTGACGCCACTCCTCTTGGGACGATCCCCGACTCTCACCACACACTCCTCACTCGGTGTACAAGTGTATTACAAAGTGATCTCACAATTAAGCATAAATACAGTAAATGATTGTTCTCTCTAACAAGGTGAGAACTCAATTAGGCTCAACTCAATGTCACACTATCCCACAACCCAATTATATAATGTATGCAAATACAATAAGCTCAATGGTTGTGTGTGCAAACAAAGAGTAAATCAAATCAAACTAAACTCAATATAAAACTAGCTTTAATAGAAATGATAATCAACAAATAATTATAAATAAAAGCTAGACTTGAGTTTAGGAAAACTTCTCTAGATCAAGATGGAGAGATGGAGATATGAAGCCCAAACAAGAAGATGATCTCCTCCACTTGTGAAAATAATCTTCAAACCAAACAAACACTAAAACTCACTTAAACCCTTGTTTAAAACTCTTTAAACTTGTTTAAAACATTTCTTGAGTTACCTTAGAGGTATGAGGGCATGGGGTATATATAGGCTCATGAAACAACCCCAAAAACCAATAAAAACACCCCCAAAACATTAAAATAAACAAAAAACAGAACTAGCTGTTACTGTAGCAACGGTCGGATGCTACAGTACTTCGGTCGACCGGTACGGTCGACCGGATTACTGTAGCAGTGCGCAGCTGTTTTGTAAAATCAATTTAAAATAGTAAATGAACTCCAAAAATTATGAAATTTTGTGAGAATGTTCTAGACATGTAGAATAACATGTCAGAGAAAGAATTTCTGAAAAATCTTTTCCCAGTTGAGAGAAATAAATATTTGAACACAAATTTACAGTTTCTGAAAAACTGTTAACATATACGATTTTGTAAAATCAATTAGGCACAGTAAATCAACTCCAAAAATAGTAAAATTTTGAGGGAAGTTTCTAAACATGTAGGTAAACATGTCAGAGAAAGAAGTTTTCAAATATCACTTCCCATTTGCGAAAACTCATCTGTTTTGTAAAACATGCACGAACATGTGCACGAACGAAAACATGATTTTGTAAATTCCATTAAACATAACAAATCAATTCTAAACTTGATGAAACTTTGCGAAATGTTTGTAAACATGAAAACAAACATGTTAGAAAAAGAATTTCTCAATTCTATGCAATATATTCAAAACACTAAATATGATTTCATTAAATATAAGCTTGTTAAAGGGGAAATCATATATAGGCATATAAACATGAAACAAAATAGTATTTTCCAATTCTATGCATTTGTTTCATATATAAACTCGAAAACTATAAAACCAAAAACATATGTATATATATATATATATATATGAAAACCAATATAATGTGTGTGTATAGATATTGAGCTTAACGTACTTAACACACATAATATAAATCCTAAACTAAGTTACCCAAGCTTGATCGTGATCTTCAATGAGCTCAACTTGGTACACGTGCGGATGAAGCTTGAACTTGATCTTTAACTTAAATTGTACGTCTTCAACCCGACATTCCGCCAACCTCCATTTGATATGATCGTTATGGCGCAATCCATCCAACCTCCAATAACGTTGTTTGTCTATAATAAATAAGAAAACACAAATACTAGACAAACAACATTAGTAATAAATTATTTGTTAAACATCATCAAAACAAGAAGGCCAACAATCTCCCCCTTTTTGATGATGACAAACAATTTACAAAACGAAGTATATGCATGAAGGAAATGAACATATAATTTATAATTCACATGCATATAAACATGAAAGAATATACTCACAATTAACAATATTTCTCCTCCTTTGACAACATCAAAAAGGGGACAAAAAGAATAAGAGAGCGAAAGCTCCCCCTATCATAAAGCATAGGTGAGTATAACACATAGTATAAGGATTGCTCCCCCTATCAAATTACCATATGGAAGATGCGCAATTATGAACACGGCAAACAAATGTGAACAAGCATAAATGAAAGATATATATGCTAGATATCACTCACATACAAACAAGATAATGAGAGCACATAATGATATGTCACGATAAATAGGTGTCTCAAAATACAAGCCTAAAAACTATGTATAAAAAATAGATTTATGAAATCCAAAGGGAGAAAACATGAGAATCATGCAAAAAGAGTTTTCGAATGAAAACAAATCAACCAAATGAAATCATAAATCAACCATTTAAATTCAAAAACAATGTTTGATCAAAAAAAAAAATTTTCTTTGTAAAGCTTGATCAAATCACCTATATCAAATCACCTATAGAATACATTATAAGGCACGAATAGATGATCCATTAGCACAAACACATAAATATCATCATATAAGTGAATTATAATGAATTCAAAAGCAAC